TATTGTTATTATTATTGGTGGCCTTAGGAGACAAAAAGGTGAAGGCAAATGGTGTAAAAGACGAAAAGACAGATGTGGACATAACTTCTCTCTAAAAGAGAAGAGTTTCATAATCATGGCTTCCCTCCCTATAAAACTGCCATCTCTGTAAAACTATCATATACTTTGTGGTTTGATGTTCACCTCACGGAAAAAAGAATGCAAATAGTGGATGGGAGATGATCAAGAAAACAACATTTTTAGTAAAATGTTGTAACAACAGAACACAAAGGAGCATGTAAACTTCAACTTTGTAGCTTTCTTTGACTCTTATGATGAGTATATATCAAATCTTTCCCACTTACCTTTCAAAAATAATAATAGCAATAATAATAATAATAATCAAATATTTACTATTTACTTCTCGTTCCACTAAAAACAAAAAGACTTTTATTGTCTTTCCGTCATTAAATTGCTCCCAAAACAAATAAAGAATCTTTGAATTAAAAATTTCACATTACCCCCTTTGCAGTGTCTAATTGATTGAGCTAGTCCTGCACAACAGAAATAGTTTATTCATTATTGTGATGGTAAAATGAGCATATTCTATGAATAGAAAGACTAGTAGTTAAAAGAAATACATATTGCTTGATCATTTTGCAGGAGCAAAAATGCTTTACAGTCTCCGAGACACTACAGAGTGGGAGTTATGTTAATTTTGTAATTGAATTATCCTCCAAAATGGTATTTTATTTGTCAACAAAAAAATGGTGTTACGTACACCAAATCTGGGTTGTATGTAGTTAGCCAGCAATGCTGCAAATATCTACACCTGCTCAGTAAAAGAGGGATAAATTACATGGAGAGAGAGAGAGAGGCACAACAGAACAAAGTTAAAGCAAAAGTGACGGACCAACCATTTTCAGTTTGTGGGCAATGGAATATCTTCATCATCCTACAAGTGTGAATTTCTTCAAAGCAATTCCTGCTGCAAGAGGCGACCAATGAGTAAATAAGGAGTACACACAAGATCTGTTTAATAAACCAAGTGAAAGAAAATGTAATTTAAGCAGCACTTCAAACAATATGCCAGTATATATTGTGTTCTGCAGTTGGATTAAAATAGATTTAGACAGCGACATCAAGTATAAACAAAAGAGAAATGAATTAGATCCTTGTAAGATACCAAAGGATATCTCTTGGTCCTATATCCGTGGATTGCAGGATCCACATTGTTGAGCCTGAGAACTACCCAAGCAAGAGCCCCATGCATACTTAATTTTTATATAGTACACCCAAAATTCAGGAGGGATAAAAACAAAAACACAAAACAGAAATCCCAATAGGAGATCAACAGACTCATTGAAGATATAAGACACACTTGACATAGGTGGTATGACCTCCAACTCTTCAAAGGAGAGGTTGAAGGTTCAAATCCCAAGTGAGGCAAATGGGTGTGTGTATTGCCGACTTAGCACCAGAAAGAAAATATTTTTTAATGGGATTCTACATTTGGCTACAGCACATAGGCACCATTCAATTGTTGCAAAATCACAAGTCATTGCAACTAAGAAGTTACATTTAGCTCACCTAACATGGAGAAGGAACAATTAGTTCCTAATCTGAGCATCCCCAAGCCTAACTGTATCCTTGAAACAACAAATAAAAGGAATATTCAGAAAAGGGAAATAAAATTATAATAAAAAGCATGTAAACTTGCTCCACACAAACACACAGAGCGAGAGAGAAAGAGAGAGAGAGAGCGATACTCAAGTATGACTTCTAACAATTCTCCCATAACAAAAAAAAAAACGGAGTGCAGTGTATCCATGGGAGAATGGCGTCAGCTCTTCCACCTCCATCTCGGAATTAGAAGAAATCATGCTTTTCCTCAAGCAACAAGTGATTGACTCAACCTCAGCACGAAATATGTATGATTCTTTGCAGTGTGATCAAACAAGCCGATTGTTTGACTCCACCTACAAATGAAACCCACTGCAGCACCGTTGGGACTCCTTGTGGTTTCTGGATCTCCTTCACTTTCGTCTCTGATACCAACAGCGTGCACATGTCTTTTCACCATGTACCACTCTACGACTATGTCTCCTCACCACCAGTGCCACCGGTGTTTTTCCTACTCTACAACCCATTAACTACCTCTACCCATCAGCTCCCTCATGAGACTACCTCTCTTTATTACCTCAATTTGTGCATACTCCATGATAGGCAAAACAAGTCCCATACGTTTAGTCATTTAGGTGCTTCACCATAAGACACCTAATCAAGTATCCAATGTTTTGCTTTATTACCTCAATTTGTGCATTAATGTGAGGATGAAATGGGAGAAAAGATTTCAAATTTGTTTGTGCAAGTGTCCAGAGTGTCTATTAAACATTACTGTTGTATTTAACCAAATTTGTTTGTTGTATTCAGGTGGATAACTCCATTCCTAGACTTGATGTGGTGGACAACTGGAGGTCTCCTGCTAGGACTTTGCATTTGGCTCTCCCTAAAGTTGGTTTGGCTTCAGGTCTGGAGATGATCTGAGACTATTGAAAATCTCCCAAGGGTGGTATGGGGACTTGACATAGTAATGGTGGTGATCATTTCTAATGTCCTGTTTAAGTCTTGAGGAAGCAGATGTCTCACCCCTGGTGTACTCCATGGGGCATTTTTCTGCAAATGTAGTATGACCTCTTTGTTTCAGTGCAGACCTACTACGAACTTGAATCATCACGTGGCTGCTAAAACAATCTAAGCTTCATACAGTCCCTTTCCCTCTTGTGAGGATGGTAGTTTTACTTCCTTTTCTTGCCTGGTAGTTTAGTGAGGACTTTTGCACTTGTTCAATTCCTAGTTCCTAGTTGGACTGTGTATAGGATATGTCACGGACAATCATGGCAATCTCAAGGGGAAGGTATAAGCATAATAGTTAGGGACAAAATGCCAGTGTAAGACTCATACTGAATTCAATAAACCCAAATTATAAACTACCAAAATTCACAAGAAAGAGATTAGAATGTAATGAAGAACAATTATGCCAAAACTCGCGCACAAAGCGTGCGTGTTTAGGTGCAAAAATCAAAGGTGATAGGAAAAAGAAAATATAATAGGTAATAGAAAGAAATGTGGAGCAAATGAAGCAAATGATGGGCTCAAATATCAAGTATAGGTTCAATTAGAACCTTCTTTCAAATTTCTAGACTTGCCAAAACAGATAAAATGTACTAATTACTACAATATATAAGTGGAGTACGGCAGTACGCATACCTTCACCGAGAGTGGCTCCACAACAAATCTTCTATTTTTCTTTCTTTCTTTCTTTCTTTTTTTCCCCCCTCTTTTCTTTCTTTTTATTTTCTTTTACCTTTCACTTTTTTTTTTTTTTTTTTGACTCAATAGTCTCAGTATATTGTCAATATCTCAATCCAAAACTGCTCATCTTTGTTGCATATATGCCTATTTATAGGCATAAAAAACTTTCCTTAACAACAAAAGAAAATATATATATATATATATATATATATATATATATATATCTAAAAAGAAGATAACAACCAAGAAACACTCAAAAATATCTTTATCAAAATACAAAAATGTCTGTGTAAAAATATTACTGCAGCGGCCATGGCATCCTAATCTGAATGCAGCCTGTAGGGTAGCCGCCTACCTATCGTAGGTTTGCAGGCCAGCCCATGCTCTGCATCACTTTTTCTTTTGCTTAATTTATTGCCTCCAATTTAAAAGTAAAAATATTCAAAGCTACCAGGACTCACTTAAAAGGATACCTTATTTCCGAGGCAACCCATTAATCCCCTGCCAACACATTCCCTCAAAACACTCCTTACCCATATTGTAAGAAAAATGTGCCTACCATTTGTTTATTTGCAACCAAGCAGTACCTTCTATATCCGTCTTCCAAGGGTGCGTATCCACCATTAAACATTGGTGAGAATAACATAGTGCAAGGAGAATCCCCTGGCCCATAACCATCGTTGGATGAACACCACCTGGAATAGTCAATCGGTCTTTAACGCACAGACGATTCACTTGGCCTGGGCCCCCACATTTGAAATTGGAGTCAAAGTCACTTGGTCTGCGGCCAAAAATTACCCAGTCACAAACACTGAATCGCCAATCAAGGCAGAGTTGCAAATTGATGAGTCATTGTCCATTCTCCAGCTGCAGAATGTCTGGAATGCTTGGCGATGAAAGAAGGAAGAGGTCTTCCCTCAAAGTCTGCATCTACTTCCACAATTGGATCAGAATGGGAGAAGGTGTATTGCACCCACTAACTCCACTACCACTAGTTCCCGAAAGATTGTTCAGGGTGTTCCTAATTAAAGCTAGCCAATTTTTTGGCAGGCCCAATGTCTTCTGCACCCAGAACATTGCCAGCATTCAAGGGAACTACCTCTTGAAATCTGGAGGAGTAAAAGAAGGCACATGATTCTATTAGTAAGGGGTAAGCTGCAGAGTTAGTAACAGAATAAGCGAGGATCAATGTAACAAATCATACCCAAGAACATAAATGTCTGCAGGACTTGAGGCATGTAGCCAATTATCGAGATTTCAATTACTGGGGATGATTTTCACCAAAGTTCCACGTAGATACAAAAATGCTTCTCCAATGGAAAATGAAAAACAATTATAACAAACGAAACAGTTACACACCATATAACAGGAAGAATTTATGCAAAGGAGACTAAACTATAGTTCAGCACATTTACAACTAGAGGGTCATCAAGATCAACTCTCCCTCGCCGGACACGCTTCATATTCTTGCTTAATTTTTCTGCACATTTAGGTGAGATAAAAGGATTAAGAATAATAAGATCAAAGACAATGAGAAATTCTCGATTCAACTGAGACATATGTGTTTGTACACGTGAAATGATGCCAAATTTTGGTTGATTAGCATATAAAACAGGATATGATAACACTGAACCTGTTATGGTTTTCTTAATTGTATATGGCTCCCTCTCTGAGTAACTATTCCTCCATTACACTGATCCTGGTGGTCAAGGAGGAATACTCCACACCACATACCCATGGAGAGAGGCAAGGGAACCCATCGAGAAATCACTGTTTATGCACCAACTAACATCTTCAACAGACAATATAACAAAAAGGTAAATGAACTCAACAAATCTCAAGGAAGAAAATTAGATGAGCAACAACAAATATATTCCAAATATTATTCTAGAAAGAATAAATAAGGACAGAGGAGCATACGCTAATTCGTTCAATTGCTAAGAAATGTTTATAAAGGAAAAGAACTTAAAATCTTGAACTTAGATTTTTTACTATTTGAAACCAGAAAATACAAAAATATCCATTCAACTGAACCCCACATAGTAAATTGCCTTGAAATAAAAAAACATACCTAGTATTTGCAACTACTTTTCCCACTTTATTTTTCGTCAAATTCCTCACAACTATTAGTCTATTAGCAATTTAAGTAGTGGGGTAGGCAAAAAAGTTACAAATTAGAGGACCCTAAATTGATTAAAGGAAACAATCACTACAAAGCAAAGAACATAATGAGTCAAACAGTCAAACAAGAATGCATAAACCAAAATTCAGGCATAAAAAGAGAAAACACATGCTGACGGCAGAGCGATAAACCTATTCAACCTGGATTTCAACAAGCATCCATGTAGATTAACTAGATTTGTTCTTCCTTTTTTGCCTGTAACATTATTTCTTCAATTCATTTTTTGCAGTGTCTGATTTGGTGAAGGAAATGAAAATTGCAGAGAGAGATATGTGAGAGTGATGTTTGCAATGAAGTGTTTAAAGGATAAAGGTAATTTTGATAGAAGAGCCGTATGTGATAGGAAACTAAAGGGTTACCGCGAGAATTAATGAGTGATTAGATAGGGTACGTAATTCGATAGCCTTGGAAGATGGGTAATTGGTGACTCTCCGGTTCCTATATCACGAAAAGAAATGGGTTTAGTTCAAATTTTGGAAATCTCTCACGAGTTCTTCTATTAGCATCTTGTATGTAAAATCCATGCATCCTCGATTAAACATTTTTTTCCCAAGTGAGCTTTCATTAAATAAAGAGAAAAAAAAAAAAAAAAAAAACAATAAAGTGCTAGATAAGAAGAGAAGGCATACCTTACAACACTGGAACGGAAAATGTTCATTTCCAGTAAATGGAAAAAAAGAAAAGAAAAGAAGCTCTTAAACAAGAGCAATTACAGTGTATGCCCATCATCTATAGAGAACCCAGGAATATCGAACGAATTCCAAATGGCTTGCCCGCATACCTGATCCCTTTGAGAGTTATTCTTAAAGACATTGACACCCTACTGTACAACTTGATCGAAGGAAGAGACTGCAGTTAAATTCCATTCAATGCAATCCCTGATAGTCATCCATACCTCTTGAGCAGAAGGACATTTGCCAAAAAAGATTATTAACTAAGTCAATCTCTAAAACTATTGTGGCAAATAGGAACAACATATCTACCTCTCTTCTGAAGGTTTACCATAGAGGGAAGTTTATCATGGATGGCAAGCACAGTGGTGACAGCAGCTCTAGGTATTCCTTTATTCCAAACCAGTGTAGTCCAAGGAACCTTAGGATGGCAGATTCTGAGTTTATCCCAAACAGACGTGAATGTACATCTACCATGCTTCCAAACAATAGTATCCTCTCCTGGAGTGATAGTAACAGCAGAGATTGTATTCCAAATATAATCAGGAGCAGCTGCAGGTCTGATCCAAGAATTTCCCGGAATAAGTGTAGACAACAATGCATCTTTCCTTGAGCCCAAGGAAGAGACCACTCTCTGTCCAAATAAGCTAATGAGAAAATCATTATTGAGCAATGGATCATTAAATATACTGAACTTATTGCCATTACCCACCCTAAATTCAATGTGCTGCAATATTTGACTCCTCATATTCAACAACTGCTTCCACAGAGGAGAGTGAGAAGGCTTCAATACAGAATTCCAAATGGTACACTTGGAAGCATTTGTATGCCAAATATAATCAGGAGCAGCTGCAGGTCTAATCCAAGAATTTCCCGGAATAAGTATAGACAACAACATCTCATCATCCTCTAGTTAAACTCTCCCTGTTTGACCTCATGCCCCGAGATGACAAATGTACTAAAGGATGCAGTTGTTGCAGAATCGTTTTTGATGTTATATGTAAAACTTGTTCATATCACCAATAATCGTTGCAAGAACAAAATCCTTGCTGGAAAAAATGGAACCGGTTGTTATCTCGCACAACAATTTGTCGACCATATATTTTTGACACGAGTTTTGCAAATGAATGGCAATCAGAGCACATTCGAAGATTCTTAACTACACGTATGGGCAGACCTTGACCTGTACTAATTAGTCCAAAGGCTATGGCCAATTTCTCGCTATGACGACCAAGTAACATTTCTTTCTCATGCTCATCAACATCCAGCAATACATTTGTTAGATCAGGAATATGCCCAGCATCTCTAAGTCTGTAGTTCATCTCATCTAGCATTGGGGAAATATGGTCCATTTCTGGGTGTGATTCATTGCCTGAGGTAAACTCATGAATTGTTCCGTTAACCTCAATTGAGCTCGACCCAGGCACTTTCCGAACCCCTTTCTCCTTCATGTGTAGCCTCACCTTGGCAACATCAGTCCATTTTCCAGCAAAAGCATATATGTTGGAAAGAAGCACATGGATTCCACTCCTCTCATCAACTGTTTCAATTATCCTCTCAGCTGCATATGCTGCCATCATTTCATTTTTGTGGGTTCGGCAAGCAGCTAAAAGAGCACCCCATATGATATCATTAGGCTCCATTGGCATTCCCTTTATGAAATCAAGAGCTTCACTCAACAATCCAGCTCGCCCAAGTAAATCAACCATGCATCCAAAATGGATAATTTGAGGGGTTATTCCATGAATTTCCTTCATCGAACCGAGAAAATGTTTTCCTTGTTCCACTAATCCTGCATGGCTGCATGCCATCAGTAGTTCCACAAATACTACTTCGTCAGGTTTCACCCGTTGCCTGAGCATCTCAGTGAAAAGCTCTATAGCTCGTTCACCATTTCCTTCCATGGTCATTGCTCCAATGGCTGCAGTCCAAGCAGAAACATCTCTCTCCTTCATTTGATTAAACACTAGCATTGCATTTTGAGTATCACCACATCTAGCAAACATATCAACCAGGGCTGTACTGAGCCGCATATCACAGTGAATTCCAGTTCTTTCAATATATGTGTAGGTCCACTTGGAAAGATCAAGAGCTCCTAAGTACCCACAGGCAGATGCAACACTAACCATTGTTACCTTGTCTGCTTTTATCCCTTTACTCTGCATTATTCGGAAAAGTTTAATTGCATCCTCAAACAAGCTCTCCTGTACCAAAGCACCAATAATGGTGTTCCAAGACACAAGATCACTCTCTGGCATCTCATTGAAGAACCCCCAAGCTGACCCCATGTCACCATTTCCAATAAAACCTGCAATCATCGAGTTCCATGAGACCACGGTCTTGTCTGACATCTGATCAAAAACTCTACAAGCCCATTCTTGTTTCCCACACTTCATGTACATGTCAATAATGGCATTACTAACACTATCCCAGCCTTCTAACCGATGCCTTAAAATATAACCATGGCACTGCTTTCCAAAGGAAACATCGCCCAATTGTGAAGAGGCTGAAATTGCTGACAATAGTGTAACCCTGTCAGGCTGTGGTCCTTGTTCCAGCATATCATCCAAGATAGCAAGTGCTTGTCTTGCCAAACCCTGCCGTACGTAATTTGACAAGATTGTATTATACATTACCAAATTTCTATCAACGCACTCATCAAAGAGTCGCTTTGCATTATCAATGGCTCCACATTTCATGTACATATCAACAAGCGCATTCACTAAAACCGTTTTAATTTCTATGCCTGACTCCCCTATATAAGCACAAACCCTCTCGCCAAAATCCAAATCTCTTAACTTTGCACAAGCCGAAATCACACACACCATCGTAACTGAGTTTGGTCTAATACCCCCTGAAACCATTTCAAAAAACAAAGAAACAGCCTCTTTTGGTTGGTCTCTCCGAGCATAACCACAAATTAAACTAGTCCACGACACAACATTTCTTTTGAGCATTTCATCAAACACCTTCCTCGCAATACCAATTTTGGCACATTCAGAGTAAAAGTGAATCAGAGAATTCTGTATAAACACATCTCCTTGTAAACCCATTTTCACAACTGACCCATGAAGCTGAACCCCCTCATGGAAAGCAGCAACCTCCGCACAGGCACGCAAAACAAACGGAAACGTAAATTTGTCAGGCATGACACCTGAGGCCACCATTCGAATATAAAGCAAAATAGCCTCATCACCAAGTCCAGCGAAAGAGTGACCTCTGATCAAAGAATTAAACCGGTAAAGAGTATCAGGACTTGTTCCACCGTTGTCGAAGGCCTTTTTCGCGTATTTCAAACTCTCGGGAGTGGCTATTTCGGCGCATGCAGTTATTAGCTTCGTTAGAGTGGAGGGGTTGTGACTGAGGAGGCCTTTCTTTGCAACCTGAGCATGTAATTGCTTGAGCTCGGAAAAATTTCTACAATATCTAACTGACCCAATTCCAGAAGATTGTTTGGTGATGAATTCAGATTGTTTCTGGGTTGTTACACCGCCACTATCTGGGGTGGTGGTGGAGAGAAGAGGAACGAGACATAGGGTGGTGGCAGCCATACTTGCCAGAGAGAGTATCAACTGTTTAACCCAGTGTTAACTGCTAACCGAGTCTGAAATCTACTTTCTGTTTTTTTTTTTTTTGTAGCATACTGGCTGCTACATACGTAGTGCATTTTTAACTAATTTGTTGTTTTCAATAGCTCCTAAAAATCCTGGTCTTTTCTAAGTGCGGAGAGGAAGGTGAATTGCGAGCGTGCCATGAACTGCTCGTTTCAAAGTGGATATTTCAAAGGAGATTGCAGGAGACCGGAATTACCACCTCCGGAGATTCTTTTTATCTTGAAAAATGACTTCTGGAATATGGCCAGTGATAAAAAGAGCGGTATTGAAAGTGCAGGACTCTAGAGTAAGTGCCAAAAATTAGAAATAATAAGTGCAGGACTTGAATTAAACATTTTAAAGGTGCATTACATGAATGTAAAGATACATGAAATGAAATTGAAAAATAAGGTGTTGTTTGTTATGTGTGTTGAATAGGGTTTGTAAACTAGCATTAAGTGCTCTATTTATAGAGCTTTTCATGCATGTAACAGCTTGATATTGCAGCTTCAGCAGCTTCCATCTGTCTTGACTTCAAACTGTCAAGTGTCCCATGTTCTCTTGGCAGTTGTAACCTCCTTCTTCTATCTTCTTCCTTCTCTTGGTTTCTTCCGAACATATCTTTAACCATGTTTTCCACTTATTTTAAGTTGTAAGTAGTTCTTGCAATTAGTTTTACACTTGGTCTCTTCAAAGGCTGACATATGACCCACATCTCCTTGTTATTCTTCCTCTTTTAGACATGATTCCATCATCTATAATCTTGTCACCCATGATTTCTAGTAACTGTCTTTAGTTATTGGTAGTTACCTAATAAGGTACCACCACTTTCAACTGATACATATATTCCTGTTTGGCTAAGTATCCCATGATCTTTGTAATCTCTTCCATCTGCAGACTCCTTTCTTCCCTGTAATTCCATATATACATGCATATGTGTCTATATCTGTTTGTGTTGCAGTCCCATATCTCCTTGATTTCAAGTATCCTTCTTTGGCTGGACTTTCCATTTTGGCTTCATGGCATCGTGGTTCCTTTCCACGGTTCCACCGACTTCATAGCGTGGGTTGTGTTTGTGGCACACCCCCTTAATTTTAGCAACCTCCTTCCATTGTGGAACTTTCCTTCTGAGCTTTGGAGTTCATGGCACCATGTGCTCCTTTATTTTAGCAATTTCCTCATCGTGGATAATATTTCAATACATATATATATATATATATTTGTACACACACACACACACACATATGTATTCGAAAATATATTTTTTGCCTTTTGAACCAACAACCAACCTCCTCTTTATATCAGCCACATTTGTTTGAATTAGCCAGCAATATCCATTGAAGCTTCCTACGATTTAGGAGATAATTTAGCCCCACGTTCTTCTCTTGGTCAACCCTTGGTCTTGTAAAAATGGAAAGTATCCATTCACTTGGAATATGATTTCAACCTAACAACAATTTTCTAAAGAATTGATAAAGTGTGGTAAGTTCGATAGAACTCACCATGTGTCAGGAGTCAATTGGTTGACTTAATCTTGAGAAATTACCTGAAATTGTATTTACGGTAATATTCCCATGTCATAATTCCCCTTTCCAAATAGGAAAATGTGGACCTTGATTTAAAGATGGCAAGTCCAATTCCCAATTGGACTTGCCATTTTCCTTTTAAAATAGAAAGCTCCACATGGTAAGACTTTAGTAGGTCCACGTATTCCTTACTTCCACATAAGATCATGTAATTTAAACACTCTAAATGGAATTTTCCAGAGTTGTGATCCGTCATAGCAAGTTCCATTGGAACTCTACACATGCCTCTTCTTTATTAGTAGATTGCATCAATTCTCCCTTCAAAAATTCCACCTCATATATTCCTTTTAAAACACCAATCCAATGTGGCAAGCTCATTGGAATTCGCCACATATTGCCTTTCCATTGGGCCAAAAATAATGGAGTAAACATATGCCCCCCAAATTCCATGCCTTGTGGAACAACTTGATGATAAGGCATGGGATTTGAATTTCGCCATCATGTCCCACTTAAATTTTCAAGGCAATCATTAGGGCTAGTAAAGTTTCTATCACCCTGTGCGGCTAACCCTTTAGTTCCTTTTTCTTTTGCTGCCAAAGTCAAAGTATTGTATATCTCAACAAGTCTTATCCTATTACTTCCTTCTTTAAATTTTAAAACTTTCCAACGACTCCCTAAAAAATCGTCCTTAGATTGGACACTTGAAACAATCATTAAAGGAAGAGTTTCTTCATAACACGCAACTGACCCCTCAATTTCCTCCATGTCAATCTTCATTTGCCGCCAAATTCAAAAAACAATCCATATCCCAATAGGAGTCTTATCCATTTATGGCTAAAAACCATTAGACTTCCTAAAAGTTACTACTTCCCTTTTTAAAATTTTGAAACTCCCAACTACCAACCCTTAAAAGGCATATTGAGACTTTAATACCTTCCTTCATCGCCTCTCTATATATATGTACATATATCTTTCATCCTTATCATTTTATACACAAAGCCTTTCTCTCTTTTCCTCTTTCTTCTACTCCAACCAAAACTTAATCTTGTGGAAATCATGAGCCATGGCTCCTGCCAAAGTCAAGAAACCTTCCAAGCAAGCCACTAGTTCATCCCTTCGAGCTCCTTTAACACAACCCAAAACTAAAACCCGAAGCCCTAGTCATCAAGTTCAATTACTTTTGAAATCCTTAAACCCTGCTAGGCTTCATCTCGAACCCTTGGTGTCCTTTGAAGATTCTTCAGTTGGGCTTGGACCAGCCTTTGCAGGTGTGGCCCCTTCGGTGACGGCCCTGGTTTTTAGGCCAGCGCATCCTATAATGAATCGAACGTAGATCCGATAACGAATCCAGAATGCGGAAGTAAGAAACAAGAAAACGGTCTCCCAAGGAACAACACACCTCTGAGACACTTTGATGACCTTCCATGAAGTCGTGAAACTCAATGAGAACTAACGCAGAAGTAAAAGATCGGAAATATGACAAATAAGCCCCCAAGGGCAAGTTAGTCATTTTACATGGAAATGACGTCCCTATAAAGTATATTATTCCCAAGAAACATTCATGACTTCCCATGAAGTCACGGAACTCAAAAGAAAGTAGCAGAAGCGAATTACAAGAAAATCGGACAAAAATAGCCCCAAGGGCAAAATGGTCATTTCTGAAAATATAAAATCGGGTGCTACTGAGCACACCACTGGGAAGAGAGCAAAAAATTAATCAAGTTAGACTCAAGAATCACTTGATTCAGAGTCCGGATGGAAGAGCAAAGTCAAAACAAAGTTTTGACGTTGTCGCGGTCGTGAATAGTAACCTGGACAAAATGCTGAAATTCGTGCGCCGTTTTGAGACACTAAACGACGTTTTCTGGAAAAACACGAAGAAAAAACCCCCTTCAAAATAATTTTTCCAAGCTGATCATGTCAAAATAAAATTTTATTTTTGACGTGAAGTCCCCAAAATACCCTTACAATAGACTTTTTCAAATAGTGCAGATGCGCACAGGAAACCAGATTTCACGCGGGGTTTTCGGGTCTGAGATAACATTTTTTGGAAAAATACAAAAAAGAAACACCCCCTAAAATCGAGGTTTCTACCCAACTACATGGAAGGAAACAAAACAAACACACTAAAAAATCCCGAAAATGCCCTTATATCAGAATTGGACAAGAGGGCAAAAGTTGCAACAGCAACTGCCCTGATCTGAGAGCAGAAATAGGCTATTAAACGAATTTTTCTGGAAAAACACGAAAACGAAACCCCTCCCGAAATCAAATTTTATACCCGAAAATGAAAGAGAAAATGAAAAAAACTCACTGTAAAATGCCCAAAATGCCCCTCCATGAAATCAGGTCATGGGGGTTAAGAAGCTGCAAAAATACAAACTGAAAGCTGAACTTTGCGAGGGATTTCCGGTACCAAGATGACATTTTCTAGAAAAGCAAGAAGAAGAAACCTCCCCTAAAATCACATTTTCTAAGTGACCATGTGAAGACTGGAATTCATTTCTCGAAAGAAAACCCCAAAATGCCTTAAAATTAGATTATGCAATAAAAATATAAAAGGAGTCCATAGGAGGCTCAAATCAATAAGGATGAGGTTTTTCTTGAAAACGATCATGCACGCAAATGTAACTTACCCATTAGGACGTGCTATAATGGTCCACAACTTAAAAATATTACTAATGCAAAATTCGACCCCCCCACGGCCAAAAAAGCAAAAATGAACTAGAAATGGGAAATTTGAAAACTAATATTAACAAATGATTTCAAATTACCGTTTCGCCCTTAGCCACACATATTAAGTAGTTCCTAATGAATGTGCTCGTGCACACTTTGCATCACCCGATTTGGAAATGAACCCTTAAAGGCTTGGATTTTACTATTTTTGCCCAAAATGCAAAGTATGAAACTAAAATGCAAAAATGAAAACAAAATGGTGATTGGCCCTTGGCCACACCTCATACATATTAAATGAATACTAGATAATGAATTTCATACCCGATGCACACTCCGGTGCAAAAATGTCATGCTAAAACCGTAATTTCTCATATATTCTCATTAAAGGTAAGATTTCAACATTTATGAATATACATGAATTTCAAATATGGTTTGACCCTTGGCCTCATATAATATATATAAAATAAGAATCAAAGAGTGTGCTTAGGCATATATTACAAGTTTAGAATCAAATATACACATTTGACAAATAAGGCTACAAATGGCTTTTCAAGCCAACCTTTACAAGAATGGAACCTTCAAATCTACAAATCATCCAAGCATAACAAGAATCTCAACCTTGATTTCTGTACTTGAAAAATGTTCCCACTACGTGGGTGAGTATCATAAAGCTACTCATAGGAAATGAGCATGCATCGACCTAACATTTTACAAAGTTATTACATTAACTGAAAACAATTCAAAAGGGTCATGCCACCTAACGTCTATGTCAAAGGTGGGACTCAGGGGGCATCCTAAACTACCTTAAAACATTTCTAGCATAAATCACATCATTCATGTAATTCAAACAACATAGAAGTATGTAATATAAAGCAACAAGATATAGATCCTGAAAGCCATTGACTTGAAATTTAAAATGCGAAAACAACTAAAGTGGGTCACGCCACCAAAAGTATATGTTCTAAATGAATCTATAGGATCATTCCTAAGTTGTATTTGAACAATATAGGATAGATGTACTTAACAACATCAAAAACCTGCAATGATTCATTAGAAATCATAATGCCTGAATGTACTTAGCAACATCAAAACCTGCAAT